GGCACCAGTGAGCCCACTGTTGGCCTTGGCCCGTCATAATATCAGGTTTGGATTTTGTTGGGTGGCCCATTCCCCAGGCCCACTCTTTTCTCAGAGAGAGAGAGAGAGAGAGAGAGTGAGCTGAATCAAAACAAAGCAAGGAGTGACGCCAAAAGTTTGGCTGGGACATCTAGATAAGCTCGCTAAAATATTGTGGTGTTCATATATCTATACATAAATAAGCATCATGTGCATATTCTAGTGTTTGCACATAGTTAAGAGGAAAAAAATCATAATAGGTTCGGTATTAAAGTTGCTCTTTTTAACTAAATCATATGTTCAAGTCATAGAAACAGCCTCTTTAGTTACCAAGGACAGGACTGCATACATTACCTTACAAACCGGGGAGCCTCATGGACTAGGGACAAACCCGTTTCTTAATTGGTACCTTCCCAAAAACATTTTAAAAAAAAAAATCATACTTTTTTTTGAACAAAAATATAAAACATACAATATGTATTAGAAGGTCCTATTCTATGTACAACATTACCTGGTCTTGATTGCTTCAAACCTTCAATGAACACATATATATTGAGCATCCTTGTCATATTATTGAAATAATAACACCAAATCATATATGAGATAGAAATCCTTTGAGAGGTTCAAATCAATCAAAATTTTGTCATATGGTCCACACTTTCATTTCATTGTTTGTGTTCAAATTTGTGATGGATTTGAAAGGAGATGGAGAGAGGGCTTAATGGGAGAATAGTATTCTGATTTGTTTGGTCTATTATAATAATATATTTTAGCAATGGTAAGTGCAACTGAAGAAGTATACCTCTTCAAGATTCTCAACAAACTTCGAAGTGGAAACCGGTGAAAATAAATTCTAAGACACTCTCAAATATGCTATATTATAGTCTCTTCTACTAAAGTAAGCCCGGTCAAATACTACTAGAATTTGCAGTTCAAAATTTGGAGGTAGGCTTCTGTACATGTTTTAATTACCACTTTGTTGGGCAAGCATGCTCTATAATAATCAAAGAGAGTACTCAAGTTAGGAAGAGTAGTTGGAAAAAATAGTTGAGAAATTTAACCCTCTTGGCTTTAGTTAGTTGCCTAACTTTGTCTAGAGCTCAGAATATTAATGGTTTCATCACTGAAAGAGCCTGTCACCATGTATAATAGCAACTTTCTCCTTATTTTATATTTTTCTCGAGATGGAAAGTACATTGGAGAACATTGACATAAAAGAAGTCTAAACAAGAGATTATGGATTGAAACTTGCCATCCTACACTATTCCACCAATGCTAGAATAAATAAAAGCATTATCGATGGAACTGGAATTTCAAGTCACAAAACCATTTTCCTACATAACTGAATCAAAACGATCAAATGTTTACCCTCCAAAAAGGAAAACCAAAAAAAAAAAATTCAAAGAGATTGAACACCTGATACTTCAATTTAATTGGCTAGCATTTTCAGATTTGTTGAAAAGAGAAAAGAAGTGATTACATGGCCAAGTTCTGAATTCTTCAAACTCTAACAGTAAGTAATTTTTCTAAAGTGACCGCTGACCTTCAGTAGCATCTTGTGGCATCTTGGCATCAGCGCTTATGATTTTACAGGCTACACCTGAGGCCTCCAAAGTCCCAGCCTATACTTGTGCGCATATTTTAATATGAGCTTCCTCTGGATTATGACAGAAATAGATAAGTCAGTTCCTAGAAGTTGTCATGTTTGATTATACTCAATACACACAGTTTATGGATCAAGAAACTCAGATCATAATGGTAAAGGCTTGAAAACACACAGGCAAATCTTAGGTGAATGAAGAGTATAAGGTCACAGGCTTTAATAACTTCACAATATTAACTTATCCAGAACAAAATTACTAGCTGTGAGCATGTGAAGTTCTTTCTGTAGAACCAAGGAGTCTCTATGTTCCAATAATTTGACGAGAATGCAAGCTTTATTCAGCTTAGAAAAGAAAGATCTGATGACAAGGTATTTGGTTGGGATTAGTATGCAAAGCACACACTATAACCAATGTTTTTAATTCAAACAGAGCTACATGTCTGTATTCTGATGTCAATACATTCATGGAGCTCCTTCCGACTCTAGAATGCCCTTAACCACACAAAGAAAGTTAATATCACTGTACCCAACAGACCTGTAAGTTATAGAAGAAAATAAGAGTAAACACATTAGCTAAGCTTTAAACCATAATATAATAAGATTATTCATATTAATTGGTACAAAAGAATTGTCGTGATATCCATCTCTTTAGCATTATAGTCAGAACACCCGCCTTTGCAATATAGTAAAAGTCAATTACCAAGGGCCCAACCCAGCCCACAACCCCCTCCCAAAAAGAATATGCACATGCATATATCTAGGATCCAACTATGTATTTCTGTGGATTTCTTCAGACCTTTGAAGAATGACAACTTATAACTTGGCAACTGAAGTAAGGTAGTCCTTGCTTCAGTGTTTGAATACCCAACTCTGACAAGCAAACTAGAGATTTATTAGCAGTAATATTCTAGCTGAGTACCTATATGAATCCAACATGGCATCTAAGGATATAGAGTTGCAAGTATTGAATAAGAAAACAACCCTTCTGCAGACTTATCCTAGATGCAAGCTACAAGTGCCAGAAACCCTCTTTCCTGAGTCCCAAAATTGTTGTAAAAAAATTCAAAAAACAGACTGCTATAACTAAAACAGCAGCTACACACTGTAAAATGATGTTTTTAAGGTTCCGTCCTATTTGAATATATAAAGAGAAGCCCACTGCCAAGACTGATCAAAACTATGCATTCTTACTATCAAATATAGTCAGCCTCACCATCTCCTTGCTGCTTTTGTGATTCAAACTAAAACAGTAAATTGAAACACTGCTAGTTTACTTTTATGCCATAGTCTACGCTCATCCTATACAGTATAAAATTTCATGTTTTTTTATTTCTATGTTTTATTTGTACTTTTCTTCTTTTTTTTTTTTTTTTTTTTTTTTTTGGGGGGGGGGGTGGGGGGGGGGGGGGGGGGGGAGGATATGCTTGGGGACATGCTCGCAATAATTGGACATATCAAAACACAAGACAGACTTTGGGAGTATGCTTGTGGACCGTACAGATCATGTTCCAATATGGAATTAACTATTGCACTGATTAATTACTTATCAGGATGAACTTGAAACCTATCCATATAAAGACATGAAAATGGCAGTTAACTGATTCAATCTCTCTAACAATAAGACGCCTTGATAAAAGAACAGCCAGCATAAAAGGAATAAGGCGGCATGCCACAAAGGGTAATAAGAAAATATAGGGTCCATGGCCTTGCATTACAATATATGTCAAGTTATACACAAATTATGGAACTGTTTCAGAATGTCTCATCAAAGAGTTGTTAAAACTTGTACCAATTAAAAGCTCATATCTAAGGATACCCAGATCCCATATTGAGTGAATATCAATGTACTTCAAAATATAACTTGGAAGGTCACAACTTAGCAGAGTAACAAAGTTCATAATTTTCCAACCAACAATTCAACCAATCTGACTCTCAAGGAAGGTTGTGCAGCATATTGCCAAATGAATCATAACCCAGCAAGTAGGGGGGAAAAAAGAAAAAGTTTGTGGATTGGAATTGGGTGGAGGGCACAAGGATTAACAGCTATGCAAAATCCAAATGCCACTGAACTGTTGTAGATTTGAATTATATAAGCAATATATTCATACATGATAACCGTTCCTGTGTTAAATTTGCAAGCTCAAAATCTTTGAATGCAATAAATGGTGCATTATAATTCTCTTACACAAACTAGGGAAATTAAATTGCTGAATGATATTAGATAGTGTCTTGCAGGCTTTAGCACCAACTTCTTCCAGCACTGCATATTAACAGTAAGGAAACACATTGAGATAAAAATAGGCTAAAACCCCAAAACAGCCATGTCTTTGTGGTGACTTGATCATAGCACAACTGGAGTTGGAATTATTAAGAAGGTGATATTCTTGACTCCTGATGCATTTCTCAACCAATTCAGACTGACCTCTTCACTAATCGCCAGCATGAAGAGAAACAGGGAAGTGAGGTATGAAAACCCACCTTTTGAACAATTCAAATGAATTTGTTTTCTTGTTTATGCTTAAAACATCTCTAGTGAAGACAGACTTCGATTTTCAAACAATATCATTTAGCACATGCAGTATTCCATAGGGCATCATCTGCATCCCCCCCCCCCCCCCAACCCAATCCAAAAAAGAGAAAAAGAAGAATTCCACTATATACCACTCCCTCGAATTCTCCACAATTTTTTTAATCCACCATTATCTTATAATAGATTTTCTATTACAAACCCCAAACTCGGTGCTCTATTTTATGTTTTTGTCTCTTATGATCTTTTTAGATCCTTTCTGAATCAATGTTGAGATCCTCGCTTTTGCATGCTTGTTATTTGATATGATATATGATTGTTCTAACCAACATCATCTAACTATCACAGTTTAATTAATACTCACATCCTTAGCAAATTAAACTTTCCATTAATTCATTTATGCAAGTTAGTTGAATTGGTTGTATCATGTCCGAGTAGACTTTTTTTTTTTTTTTTGCAATAACCTCTTATCCATTTGAACAGTATTATTTTATGTCGAGTTGTACTTTGTTAAACAGCAAATTCCTCGTATTAGTGCTCCAATAAGAATTTGCTTGAAGTTTTGCAGTGTTTAATTTTCTTCTGGATACAATTTATTCTCATATTGTTTGTTTAATTTCTTTTTATCTAGGTCACAGTTTAAGGAATTTCATCAATTGAGTTTGTTTGGATAAATTCTGCTACTTAAATACCAAAACTTCTATGAAATCTTAAACAAGTCCCCAAAATATCTGACAACATTCCTACCATAAACTCCTGAACAGAGCTTTACTACATTACCCAATAACACAGAGGTTAATATCAAACTCAACAAACAAGCCTTAAAATTATCTGTCGTGGTTAAAAGCACATTCATGAAAGAGAACCCAATCTCCCCTTTTGTATTGTATCGCCATTAATATCCTGAGCAAAAATATCATAGCTTCTGTAGGCCATAATTTTTTCTTGCCACCCACAGTTGCATACGACAGAAGAAAAGGAAGAAACAATAACTCGGACAAATAATGAACCGAAGAAGAAACGCTATTACTTGTTTGCAGGGGATGCCGAGCTTCTTAAGCCTCAAAGTGCGAGTGACAAGCAGCTTCTGGATGTCACCAATCTCTGATTCGAGCTTCTCGACGTGGGCTTCGACCCCTTTGCCCACTCCGTTCAGAAACTCCGGTATTCCCACCTTTACTGCAACAGAAAGCAAACAATCAGTTTATCTGAATCAACGAAAACCCTAAAGATAAACCTTAAGAAGATATTTACCCGCGTAAGATGAAGTTTTGGACGAAAAACTAGCTGACCCAGGAACCACATTGGAAGGAGTCGAAAATAATCTTCTGTAAAAAAGAATGAATTGCCTCCAAGACATCTTCGAACTGACTCGATTCAGCAGGTAGTACAGATACAAACGAAAACTCACAGGCTGCTCAAGAGCGAAAAGGCTATTGGCATGTTGCAGAGGGCTTTTATGGAGAAAACGAAAGGGAGCAGAAGAGATGGAAACGATGTCGTATTAAAGATGAATATTTTAGTAGAAATCCAGTTGCATTTGTCAGTTTCAATTTAAAGCCATGATTTATTTATATATTAAAGTTTTTATATGGCTACTGACAAGAATATTAAATTTGTTGATGTTAGACGTTTATACTAAAATTTGACTTTTGATATCTCTAATTATGTGATAACTGAAGGTTTTTTGTTGTAAAAATTTTTAATTTTATTTTAATATTTATTGTGAAAAAATATATTTTAAATTTATAAAATATAGATAAAATTTGAATTTTCAAACATAGATAAGGGGACTGAATCTTCTTATTTTTATAACAATTATAAAATAATTCTATTCCATTGACATAAATACTTGGAAAGGCAGTGAAATTGATATAAATTAGGGAAACAAGTATACTAACATCGGCACTCCTACCCTATCCTCATCCCACTAAGAATTCTGTATTTCTTTCTCATATTCCTGTCATGACCCAAACTAGGGTTTATGACTGGCACTAAAATTCTCTGACCCTAATAAGTTTCATAACTAATATACGTAAATAAATCAGTCATCTCATACATATACCATAACATCATCAATACAATTTATGAATCCTGTCTAAAAGATAAAGCAATACTAAAGTATGAAAGGAAAAACAAGAAAACATGTCTGTACATCGGATCAAATCAAGGAACATGCTCCGATGTTAGTATGCTCACTGAGACACGATCAGGAAAAGCAATTGGAATGATAATAAAAACGTGGGTCCTAAAATTCAATAAGTATGAATGATACCTAATCTATAAATGTCGGGATATGTATCACATCACTTGTCCAAACCATATATATACATGTACAGTGAGTAGTGCAACATATCAAAACAGATATAAGAGGTTATCATCATAACTAGTCATCATATCATATCACCGAACTCAAGGCACTCTTCATTGGCTATTCCAGTACACCATCCCCCCTTGCGCCCTTGGCATCCCAATCTCATCTCGACAGTGCGCAACATGTCTACGAGACTCTGCCGCCTCATACCAGACTTAGGGCACTCACCACTGGATGCTACGAATTACATACTCCAATCGAGCCATTAACGTCCCTAATCAAATCATACGATACCATCTCCACATATGAGTCAAAAACAAGTATATACACATATATAGTCAATATCTTGAAAACTAATGTCAACATGTCAACATAGCCCACTAACTGTCGCAAATCACATAACACATATCCTGGAAGTAACATATAACAAAATACAGTTTGCAAATTCACATAGTCATCATACCAAATAAACGCAATAAGAAAATGTATATATAGAAAGGGTATTATCACTCACAATATTGAAACCGAGCCAAAAGAAAGTCTCGAGTCACCCTCACCTGACTCTTGGTTCAGATACACCTCTACCAATATATCTGTAATCATAATAACACAAAATCACAACAGGCACCCAAATTGGCACAAAAAAGGGCTCGACAGCCTAAAACTAAACTCAATTCCCATTGCATGACACTACCACGCATCTCGAGACTCACTACTCATCATCTGAGACCCACGCAACTCACTCACACTCATCAATTTTACTTAATTCTCCTTGAACCCTAGTGAACCAACCTCCAAAACTCTCGAACCAACCTAAATCTGCCTTAAACCAAATTGAACCGGTCATGAAAATCTCAAAATCAGATTGACCCGGCCTCAAAACTCTAAGAATCGGACTAAACCAATCAAGAACCGTCCGAAAACAAGGCTGAACTGCCCACATAAACCCTGAACTGACTTGAACCAAGCTGGTTTAGTTAAAAACACTCAATTTCTAGTCAAACGGGACTTCCCCGGACCAACTTAGTTCAAAAGTTCTCAACCTTCTAAATCAGGAATCGGTTTAACTTCCCAAATCTGAGTTAAAATGACCACTGAACCGGCGGGTCAAATATTGAATCGTTACTAGACCAGCTCGATCAACATAACCCTACTTTCCCTTGAACAACTTATCCCAGACTTGGTTATTTAATTCCTAATTTAACCTTATCCATGTTTTGTCTTATCCCTTTGGATAACATATCCCTAATTTACTGTTTGGTCAACTTGCTAGGTTGACCCATTATTTAACCACTAGGGCAAGTCAACTCACCATGTTGACTCAGCCCAGCCTAGGCCCACTGGCCCATCTAGCCAAGCTCAACCCAGCCTAACCCACTCTAGGCCTCCCTGGCCTAAGTCCAACCGGGACTGGGCCTAAATTGGCCAAGTCCAACCCAAGCCCATCAAGCCCAGGTTTGGACCCAACCTAAGTCCAACCCACACAAACCCAGATCCCCATTCGAGTTCATCCCTGTCACCCCGCTTCTAACTCGAAGCCTACATCTAGGTTTGCAACAGACCCAGAACTCCAAAAACTTGAAAAAAAATAGCAACACAACATACCTCAATCGATTAACACGAAAACTTGTAGAACTCAATTAAACAAACCACAGAGGACCTCTTAATTGGATTAAATTGTCCCAAAAATAGCTCAAAATCTCAAATAATCTAGCTCGGTCACGAATAGCCCAGCCGACCCATACCAGCTCGATTTCTCTCTCTAATTTCACTCGATTTCTGCAATTGATTGAGGGGTTTGATTTGTCTTTGAGCCTCGCACACCTCTACATAAGAAATTGAATTAAAATGATACCTATTGATCACAGATTTCCTTGAATAGATTTGATGCACAATGGATCTACAAATTATCCGTTCTATCACAATCCAGTCCCTAGAATTTTATTTCCTTTCAATCTCACCCTCCAAGCTTTAATTGAGTCTTTGTATCTTCCAATTTCTTCAATTTGACACCCCAAAGGTTTCAATCTTAACCCTTAACTCTCTGATTCACCAATTTGGCCACTAAAACTCCTAATTTCTTCAATTAAACCCTCCTAAAATTTAAATTAGCCCCAAAAAACTCCTAATTCGTGCAATTAGGTCCCTAAACCCCATTAATTAACCAAATTCAAAAAAAATAGGGTTGCTACAATTCCTTTTTATCCGTGTCTCAATTGTATCCCAATCTTTAGATCTTATCTACCCCCACCATTCAATTTCAAATATGCAAATCAAAGCATAATCCTCCTAACCATGTAAAGTGAATATTTTGCACTTTGCACCCCCAAAATAGGGGGTTTTGGCACTTTGTACCCCAAAATTTTTAATTTAACACTTTGCACCCCAAAAATAAGGGTTTTAAGAACTTTACACCCTAAAATTTTAAATTTAGCACTTTACACCTCAAAAATAGAGATTTTTAGCACTTTGCACCCAAAAATTTAAATTTGGCCCTAAAACTTCCCAAAATTACAAAAAAGTGCACCCTATCTTTGATTGTTCATTAAAACTAAAGGTAAATTTAGAATTTCATGTAAATAAAGAATAAAAAGATTATAAAGGACTTGAACCCTTCATTTTTTTTTTATTTTCACTATATTTAACAAACTTTCACTCAATTTATATATATATATATATATTAACGACATATAAAAGATAAAAAAAAATTTGTACTATTCAAAACTTTAAAATTTTAAAACTAAAAATAAAAAAATATTTGAATTGATTATTTTAGTTCTTAATTTGTCTAGATATTTTATACAAAAATAATTATTTGAAGTAGTTATTGTAGTTCTTAATTTGTCTAATATTTTATATAAAAATAATTATTAATTCTTAATTTGTAATATATTAAGATTTCTAGTTTTTAAATTAAGAACTAAAATAGCTATTTCAAATATTTTTTTATATTTTTTATCAAAACTTTATTTTTAGTTTTAAAATTTTGAATATGTAGAAAATTTACGGTTCATGTGCATTTGAAGAAATTAGTTTACTTGGTTTAGAATCTAATCGAAAATATTAATTTTGAAATAGTTATTGTAATTCTTAATTTATCTAGTGTTTTATACATAAATAATTATTAGTTCTTAATACAGAACAAACTAAGATTTTTAGTTTTTAAATTAAGAACTAAAAAAATTGCTTCAAATTTTTTTTATATTTTTTATCAAAACTTCATTTTTAGTTTTAAATTTTTAAAATTTTGAATAGTACCAAATTTTTTAATCTTTTACATGCTATTAATATGTGTATAAATTGAATGAAAGTTTGTCAAATAGAGTGGAAATAACAAAAAAATGAAGGGTTTAAATTTTTTATAGTATTTTTACTTTTCATTTATCTAAAATTCTAAATTTATCTTTAGTTTTAATGAATAATCAAAGATATGATGTACTTTTTTATAATTTTGGAGGGTTTTGAGACCAAATTTAAAATTTTAGGGTGCAAAGTGCCAAATTTAAAATTTTATAGTGTAAAGTGCAAAATATTCCATATAGAGTTAATACTTTTTGTGAAATCAATACACGAAGCTCCATGTTCCAAAATATCTTATAACAAATTTTTAAACTATACTTCAAAATATTACCTAAATTTAACATTTATTAAATAATAGAATTAAAAGTAAACTAAAAACACTATCGTAAAACCTTTTCTGACACAGACTTGTAAATAAACAAATATATATATATATAATTTTTATAAAAATATAAAGTTAATTACATGTTATATAAGTGGAGTTGAATCACTTTCTTTTATCCTTATTCCAATCTCAATAATTCAATCATATTAATTATTCTCATTGTCACTTTTAATTTACACAACCATCCCATTCGGATATCTATTAAAAATCAAATTTATTTAATGTTAGATTTTGACATAGTGAATCAATTAAATTAAATCAATTAAATTAGCATTAATATCAATATTTATTATTAATTCAACTATTACAAAAACTAATTATGAATTGTACCTACATCGTTATATCTTTTCATTCTCATTATCATTCAATAATCCCCTGGAAATTTAATAAATTTTTATTAAATTCTTTTTTATTCGAGGCCTTAAATTGAAATAATAAATTTGT